TATATTTATATAAAGTAAGTAGAAGTACATAAGTAAATTAAGTGATATATTTCGCCTTTAAAACAGTTAAAGTGTTTTATTTTTAGCAAGTCATACAATACTACCTACCTACCTAATAAGACACTTATTTATTGCAATTTATTATTGTACGAAATTCTTCATAATTTTCATATCTATTTCAATATGAACTACGCCTGTCAACTGTACCCAACTATTTTCAATATAAAACACCGAATATGATAATAATAAAATGTTAGATTTATCGGTCCTGTTCGGCCGATACTTTACAGCTTATCGCAAAGTGAGACCCTAATGTTTTTATGAGTTCTCGGAAACTCATCCCGGAGGGAAGGAATGACGTAAAAATGAGATAAGAGCATGTTCACGGCTACGAGGAAATTATGGTGCTGTAACTTTGAAGCATGGGACTTGTCGTGTAAGTTTAAGGGCGCATTTCCGCTTTACAGCGTTTTATGGGATTTAAAAAGAATGGAGACAGAGTGGTATAAAAAAAATAACATGGTTTTATTAAGGGGGAAAATAAAGATGCGCAATTAACTTAGGCTAAAATGAATTTCTACTATTATTTGTGTAAAAAATTATGTTTATAAATTTCGGACACTTGGCTCTAGTAGATAAGACATTTTAGACTATAAAAATGGAAATGACTCACGTCATAAAATTTCAGTTAGGCTAGTCTGCCTCTAGCGGTCTCATTTCATCATACACACAACTACTAATACTACAACGAACTACTAGAACTATTAAAACTGCTTCTAAGTTAAAATGACTCCAAAAAAGTTTGGTAATGTGCGTATAGAAAAAAAACTTGATGTAAAACACGCTTTGGTTCAACCCAAGTGCAATTTTGACATGGAAGTGGGTAAAACAAATTATATGCCAAAATAATTATTGACCTACCTCGCAATATTTCTTAGGTAGATTGAACTGCGAACAATAATGTCGGAGTTCTGTCGTACACATAAATATATAGATTACAATAAAACAATACGCCTTAACGACCAAATATTTGTAAGATGCAAATTATTATTGCCTGGCCAGCGTCAGGTGGTAATTAAAATTAAAATATATTTCGCGTTTCAAACAGTTTTTTTAAAGACTCCAATAAACTTTAAGGTGTGTTGCGAATTCGAAATTTCGCCTTGTCACGACGTCTTTAATCTAAATCCTAGCCTTTAAAATCTTCCATTACTGCTCTCGGAGAACGACAATAAGAATTGTATGTAAGTTATGTCTGTGACAACGGTTACTCCGATAACATAATCCGTCTTACCACAGAACGCAGGGTTGTTCTTTCATAAGATAATCCGATTATAAGCTTATGCCTTTCTTTGTCCGCGAAATTAGAGTCAACATGGATTGTATATTATACTTATTATAAAATCAATTCTTCATAACGAAATTTAATATAACAATTTAGTATTTTTATCCCATTGAGAGTCGCCTTTATAGGAAAGGTGAATTAAATTAAATGAAAAATCATTAGTTAAACTTATTAACATATTATTTGAACTACTAAAATAGCCATTTAACTCTTAAAATAGTATTATTTAAAATGTTATTGTTCTCGCGTATTTTACATACATTTAGATATTTTTTTAACCTACCTAATACCCATACAGTGTTTTCTTTCGAACTTTCACCCTGCAGTACAATATATTATTCTTTGCACAATCTATAAAACACAATTGAATCGTAATTGCCAAACAAAAGCTATAAATTCACGCATCGCTAAATGAAAGTTCAAATCTTTATTTTTCGCACGAAATCACACAGTCTGGATAAGATGTATGATTTAAAAGATATTTTTAGATAGGAGATATGGTTAATTCACCCTTTCAAAATAAAAGAGGCACAAAATATTTGTTTTGTTTTTTTTCAATCGCTAAAATAATTGATTGAGGCCTTTTGACAGTTTCCACTGCTGGCTTTCTTAGTCATTCCGATTTCATCACGATGTTTTCCTTCGTCTTCAGCAATCTATTGTTTATTATAAAACTAGCTGTGCCTGCGACTACGTCGGTGTAGAACATTTTATTTGGTCATCGACATTTAGTTTTAGCAAATCTCATCTTTTGTAATTATAGCTTTTAAATAAAACACTTTAACGGTTTGAAACGCGATATATTTTAGTTAAACTTGTTTGAGAATTATATTTAACTACGACCCGACGTTTCGGATGCTTTGCAGCAGCCGTGGTCACAGGGAGGTAGTTAAAAATAATTCTCAAACAAGTTTAACTAAAATATATCTCGTTTTAAACCGTTAAAGTGTTTTACTTAAATGGGTACTACTCGCGTAAACTAAGACAGTATTTAAAGCTGTTACCCACGACGTTGGTCGCGTCCCTAGTTCTAGCAAGTTATCTTAAAGAAGACATAACTATGTCATTCTTCTGTCTATGTCATTTTTTCAGATCATTTGAAAATTAATCATTCTTTCATACATATCTCTCCCCGTTTTTTTCACGTTTCCCATATAATATAAATAATAGAAGAAACTCAATTCGAACCAGTAGTTCCAATATATTTCGATAAATAGGGCTTTATAAAAAGGGGTGTATGTCTTTCAAAATATTAAATTTAAATTTTTGTAAATAAATAATAAAAAAAATATACGGACAAATACTTACTTTTGTTACGAGCTTTTCAAAGCCATGAGAACCTTTTATGTCACCGTAAATACATACATTTTTAACCACGTCTCATTGTTCCACCATCCATCAACGGGGGTTGTCAGAAGCTTTCGCTATTTTAATGTCAGATAATAGCATGATTGATGCAGTTCCGTTTCGAGTTCATATCTCTTGATGAATTTTTTTCTTGTTAATTTTGCTTAATTTCGTTGCTGCTGAAAGTATTACAGTTAAATACCACGGATATTAAGTAACTCCTGCTAATCTGTGATCTGCTAAGGTGAACTATTTTAATACATCTATAGTCACTATTATAACCGAATGTTATTTAAAATTTCCATATTTTAAACACTGTCAATAGTTTAGACGAATATATTAGTTCAACTTATTTGGAAATAATTTTACCTACGGCCCGACGTTTCAAATGCTTCGTAGCAGCCTTAGTCACGGGAGATCCCTCTTTCAAATAAGTTTAGCTAATGTAACGCGTTTTAAACCGTTTAAGTGTTTTATTAAAATATTCCTTTGTTCTCAAACACGACAAGCGATCAAAAGCAAGCATTAAATTCATACCACTCTGGACAATTAGCCCACTTCCTTTCACAAACTTGAAAGACCTAAGTTTAATTGTAAATTAGGGGCGAAATGGCTGAACTTAATGATGCTTATAACAGCCGCCGTTTAGCCTTTATCTGCCATAATTTGGTGCCAAAACAATACAATTTAGGTCACAGTATGTGAGGAAGCCATTTTGGCGTAATTCAATTGAATGTTGTAATACCAATGTATAGCTAATGTATGTAATAATCAATTTGTTGTAGGTTCGCGTTCCCCACCGCGCCCAACGTGTTTCTTTTTAATTTTTCTGAAGCATGTTAGACTTTGGAAATCTGGATATTAAATGGCTGGTAGGAATATCGAAATTCCGTTCCGTTCGACAGAGGAAAAAGCCGTGAGTTTAATCGCGTTTCGGATGCAATCTGTGGATTTCCAAATATCCAAAGCCAAAATAGGTCAACAGCGCATTTTATTTAGATGTTAATGGCTGGGGTATTTCACCTACTACCAAGTCATACCCTATGCTCGCCGATGTAGTAAAAAAAATTGTGTCCGTTTCATTGATCGATTCCATTAATAGTGATCGAACTGTTATGTCTGAATGAAATTATTATATTTTTCTGGGATTCAAACCCAGGAATTTTAGTACTTAGTGCAATGATAGGTGTCGTAAATCCAATTAATCAAGCAGGTGGGGAACGCATAATATAGATGTGATATTAATATCTATTAGTTACTTGAAAACAACATTGATTTAATGAAAATTTATCCCAACGTAAGATAAAGGTATTTAAGAAAATTCCTATTAAAAATTGCTCTTACGCTAATTATATAGTTATAGGGGCTTTTAAAATCTATACTATAAACATTCGATACTGTTTATAGTTTACGCGAGTAGTACACATTTAAATAAAACACTTTAACGGTTTATAACGCGATATATTAGTTAAACTGATTTGAAAATGATTTTTAACTTCGGTCCGACGTTTCGGATGCTTTGTAGAAGCCGTGGTCACGGGGAGATAGTCTCCCCGTGTATCCTTAATGTATCCGACAAAAACGAAAGATACATTTAAATTTTATTTGTAACTCACTATCACGTTAGAATTCATATTCTGTAAAGATGTGTGGTTGGTTTTTAATAAATAAATAAAATAAAAAAATACTTTTCCTTGGATGGTTTTCAAAGGCGATGCTGATTTGATTCCGATGTACTCGAAGCTACTTTAAAGCTAAAAGCTTCTGTAAAGCTCCAATGTAAAATCAGATTGGAAATAGCACAGTTCCTTCCTTGCATTCCAACTTAACAACATATTTCAATAAACATAAAGACAGGAAAGAGGAAAGATAAGTACAAGCAGTATATATATATTTAGTTGGTTACTCGATGGCAAACGTTAATGAAACACTCAACGGTTTAAAACGCGAAATATATTACTTTCACTTTCGATTACAATCGCTTAACGCATTCAAAACTTCTACTTAAAAATAGGCTTTTTGGTTTCAGCAGTAATATTTATTTAAAACTTTTAAATCAAACACTAAACGGGTCAAAAAGAGAAATTTATTATTTAAACTTATTGTCATTTCTTTCAATGAACGTTACTATGTTAAACGTTTTGTTTTAAACCGTTATCGGTGCTCTAATTTCAAGGTGTACTACTCGCGTCAACTATAAGAGGACATACATAACTTTAGCTTTAGGGCGTTATAATTAAAATGTTATTTGTAATAATATACGTATATTTAAAATTAAGCTGTGCTTATTATATTATACAAATATAGCTTATAACGCTACTTTACGACCAATGGGAATATTTTTCGGTGTCTGATAATACTGGGGGGTATCAGTTAGAGTTGTCGCGCCGATCAGATCGCCAGCAGCAACTAGCAGCAAGCGGCGTTTTTTATGGTGTTGTAACAATGATGCTACAGTTGCGAAGCTTCGTTCGCCACGCCGAGCGAATCCTAAAGCCAGCCGACCATCTGGTCGCCGGCGCACACCGACATTATGTACTGCGTTTGCGCATGAAACGCTTAGAGTATAGGCGTGGTTTGGCTGAAAAAGAAATCGAATATTTTATTTACCTTACAAAAGTTCAGTACATATTGACATTAATTATGAAAACATTTGAATTTTTTTGATAATCCTGAGACGATTTGTTGACTTTTTTATGCGGAATGAGGTATACTGTGTTTGATCTAACGTTTAAATATTAAACTACTCGTATAAACAAAGCAAAATACAACAGGCGACAGCCGGAGGTTAGAAAGTAGAAAATATAGTCCCTAGAATTATAAAAAAAATGAAGTTAATAGATTATTATAATTCGGTCTTGCACAACTTTTAATTGTTTTTTTTTCTTTGTAGTTCTTTTATTTACACCTGTTCTCTTGTTTAACATAAAATCTTTGAAATACTATTCCTTAAATGTAAGTTTTAGATTATTTAACCGCTTTCGTGTTTTAACCATTATGTTAAGTCTGGCACTAAAATCTGAACTACTTTGTCTGAAACAGACACAGAAATAAGTACGGCCCAATTCCCATATACTGAAACGGAATGTGACGTTTAAAACGGTTCATTTCATTAAAATCCAACTTAATGGAAGTTCAGAGTGAAAAACTCACTTGACTAGATGGGCGTAATATAAAGGTTCCATCGGGTTGCCCCAGCAGCAAGTTCTCTGCCTCCTGTCTATCAATATTCATGTAAAACGGCTCGTTCTCAACTGGCACAGGAAGCGGGCGCGCCGCCATGTTGGGCTTGCGCTCCCATTTCACCTCGTCACAAGATGGCTCCACTTCCGATATGTCTGACTGCGCTTCGTTCGTTTCTGAAATTAATACGGAATTATATTAAACGTGTGACAATGTGAATATTGAAATGTGTTACTAAATTTGAATTTAATTCCTAATTCAAAATTTAAAAAGTTTAAAAACGAATCTGGCATCAGATATAGAAGAAATACTTCTTTGACTTTTGCCGTTTCAAATTTAGAATATTAAAGTAAAAAATGACATTCCGTGTACTCGGCGTGAGCCAGACCAGCCACCTTTCGTGTTTAACGTAATGCCAAGCAACACGTTTAAACACTGAGCTACGGAGACGACATGCATAGTTTTAATAAACATAAGCAGGAGTTTTTCATAAGCTACTAACAAAAACCCTATGAAGCAAACACAATAACCAGCGAGATAGCGAGTTCTGTATTAAGATTCATATCCTTGAGAAGTCGTTAGGGAGCATAACTTCACGTATATTACCTGCAATAACATCGGTGAGACAGTGGAACGTCTTATAAAATACATCAGCTACACCATTACCCAACCGAACGCCAAGATTATACACTAACGGGACACTAACTTTTAACCACCAACACATTGTTTACATTTTTTTCTCTTATTGTCTTTATATTTTACAGGTTCAAGGTGAGGTAGAGGTCATTTTATCTGTATTGCTATTTGTTTTAACGATAATATTATACATAATTTTCTTTTCTGTTACCTGTTGATGATAAAATAATTTAAAGATATATGCTAATATGTCTGTAGTTTACGCGAGTAGTACACATTTAAATAAAACACTTTTACGGTTATAAACGCTATCTATATTAGCTGCAAAGCAACCGAAACATCGGGCCGTAATTAAAATTACTCCCAAATAAGTTTAATATACATCGAGTTTTAAACCGTTTAAGTGATTTATTTAAATATATCAATATGCTCGAAATCTTATAGCAATTTTAACAGTACGTAAATGCATTATTTCTTTGACTCTTTCGTATAACATACTTGCTTGTAATTTATATTTAGGCGCAAATTTTGTCATATAAAGTTCATAACATTACGTCTTAAGATACATGTAAGACAACTAGTACTCAGACAATAGTAATCAGCTTATTAGCAATTAACACAATTACCCTTATTGGATTTACATCATTCTAATGACTAATTATAAAGATTAACCAAATTATCTAATCTAATAGGGACTACTTTTTCAGACCTAAGTCCTCATGTTAATGTAATAAGAGTAATAACAAATTTTACACTATTATTCTAGTATTTTTGCAATTGTAATCTAATTCTTGTTCTGTAACTAATAAAATATAAAAATCTTATCTAGAATAACTGTTTCTTAACATCAAACAAACATCTATAATATTGTAGAAGCTGAAGATGCATTAAGAAAGCCAAACAAAGGTGTCATGAGCGTAGCAAGTCAAATGTCAATTAATTTTAATTATTCACACCAGAGTGATTCACCGTTGCGTCAGCGTGCGTGACTTTAGGTCTAAATTAGTGGATCACTTATCCAAAATAACAAACGTAATTTGAGACACTTTTAAGATATAATCACTTGCTTCTTATTAAAGATCCTTTTCAAACACATATTCATATATTTCACTATTACTTTTAATCTTCAAATTTCACTAACATCTTAGTCGCTTACTATTTACACGTTATCGGTGTAGAATCTTGACTTACAATAAACGCTTCTTCCCACTATTATTTTTTTCCAATACATTATAAAAGAAACTAAAAGACGATAGTAATGTATGTAGTCGAGTCATCGATAATTTTTAAACGTTTAAAAAGTTCAACGCCAGCTCAATTCTAAATTTAAATTAATTATTTTAATATTTAGGAACGAAGAGATAGCTTTTCTAAAACATATAGTACTTAGATAAAATTTTTGTTTTGTTTGATCCTGGTTCAAAATACATTTGTATACTTGGATGATAAACGTGTAGACTTTATCGATAGCGTGTCGCATCCCTTTGCACATGTTATCCACATGACAACAAACGAACAAAAAAACACATCTTGTCCTGAGAAAGTAGCAGCTTCATTCGAGTACTGTTACATGTTTATCTACGACAGTACTTAGAGTAAACAGATAAATTTCCTAATTAAATAAAAAATTGCCAAGCCATATAATAATGTCCTATAAGTTAGTAGATCTATCCTAGCAGCTCTAACCACTTTGTTCATAATTTTATGCTGTAAATATAATTTGACGATTGCCCTTTTTTCTTATATGTATTGTCTGTAAGTACACAAATAATAGAGTTAAAAATTCGAAATAATAAATTTAAGAATACTTAATTTTTATCTACAACCGGAAGTTTTAGTTGCCTACAGCAGTTAATGTGAATGTTTACAAATTAGGCGTATACAACCATTAAACGTTTGTTCAATCATTTCAACAAAAATTAAAGCATAAGTAACTGAAATAAGCTTTAAACTGAAATCCTCGTCAGCAATCGGGTCTTTATGAATAAGTAATGAATACGTGAATCTATCGGAGTGTGCTGAAGAACTTATTGGATTTGCTAATTTCATTGCTCACTGTGTCACGGCAGCTTATCACACCGAATCATAATAAAGGTTAGCTAAAACGTAAACATCATACTAAATACGAAAATGATCTTAGCAGTTATTTATTACAGAATGAGGTGGTGTACCTGCCACCTCATTCTGTAAAAAATAACTGCTCACTATTAATACTGAGATAAAGCCAAAATATTTTATGTAATTAAAATTGTATATACATTTTATTAATATCTATGTAGAAATGTGTGGAATGAAATGTAAGAACGAACAAGAGTATATGGGTAAAGGGACGAAGAGAGAGATCAAAGATGGCGAATTATCACGGTGTTCGCAAAAATCCTTATTTTTAAATTGATTTTCAACTTGTTTTCAAAAATGTAATTTCGTTACAACTGGACCATTATTCTAAACAGTGCCCACAGCTGTGGAACGAGAACTTAACCTACACGATGCTCAAAAATGACACCTGGCAAATGTTTGGTTCTAAATTGTGCTAGTTTCCTCACGATTCTTTTCTTCGATCAAGATATTTTGCATGTTCGAATATCAAATTCATATGTAATTCAGGTGCTAACACTACTAGACCTCTGCGGCATTCGTCTACCCTACACTACGGTGTAAGTTGCGTCCATTTTAAACTGTTTCCGAAATCATGTCGAATGTGATTACGCGATAATATCGTGATGTTCGACGTTCCACTTTGCGATAATTAGCTTTCATCGCGTATGGTGTTATTTGATTTTGGCTTAAGCAAAACATTATTTAGTATCAGTTTTCGACTGTTTTGAAGCTATGCATTGTCTTTACTAGAGCGTTAAACAATTTCTTTGTTGTATTCGATTCCTACTACGAAACCATTTTTAATCTAAAATAAAAAATCTATTTTTGAACACGCTACTACATTTTCCCAACTAAAAACTTAATAATATTCTATGTTATCCTAGTGCATTGAGATTACTATGTTTGATAGCTCATTGTGAATAGTGGAGAATAGTTCAAACAATAACACACCTCGCCTTCCGAATCGTGTCTCAAAGTAGTTCAAGATGAAGCCCAAAAGAGAATCTTCTTTCTGCCTCAGGCAGACATCGCAATAGTCCTTTTCTATACTAACTGGTACCATGTACTCTTCTACTGCTAGGGTTGTCTGAAATAAAATAAGAATATAAGTCAATACGATATTTATCTATAATTCGAGTAGTATAGGTGTGAGCTGATTCATACAATTTTATGTTATAAAACCATTTTGTGATAGTGTAATATTTTATAAACAGTCAATATCAGACTTCTGTGCCATACATTGTCGAGAGGAATTATTTCAAGGGATCCTAATTCACGGACTGGCATATGTTCGACGGTATCTGTAGGATAAGATTGAAATTGTAAATGGTTACTACACGTCTCACCTTATAGTGTGTACTATACTCGTTATCTTTTCAGCTTTACCGAATCCAAAATTAATAACAAGATGTAACCTCAGAGAGTTGCCAATTAAACTTGTTTAATCTCCTTAACCTGAGTCATGAGAGCGCTTTGAAGTAATTGTGCGTTTAATTAATTTCGTCTAACTCGTGTGACGCCTAATCTATTTTGCTTTACAAAAGGCTTGAATTATCTTCAATATTTACATGAAGCAATTATATCTATCCAAGACTGCATCCGTAGCCGAATAATTAAACATAAAAGAAAGAGAAAAAATTACTACCAGAAGCCATTTATATAAAACGGTTGTAACGCGATATATATGAGTAAGAGATATTTAAAAATGATTCTAACTACCGCCCGACGTTCCGGATTGTTTGCAGCAGCTGTGGTCACGAGAAGACATTTTAAAAGTTTATTTAATACATATATATCCCGGTATAAACCGTTAAAGTATTTTATTTAAATACAACGCGCGTTAAGTATGTACACACAGTATTTACCATATGTCACAAAAGAAAAGTTTTATTACTAAAACACGCGTTACGCACAACGTCGTCCGCGTTCCCAGTACTATTGGTAAATTTATAAAAACTATAATTTTATTAATGTACAAATTAATAGAAGGACTTACCTGATCAATACTCTTCTCTTCCTTTTGAACATGTACAGAGTCATACATATCACCCATGCTATCATTGTTTTCATAAATATGACCATCTTTTTCACTTTTAATCACTTCATTATTACTCTCCACCGTTTCTTCTAATCTTTTGAAAAAGGGGAACTTGAAAGATTGAAATAACTCTTGTATTTTACTTATACAGGGCTTGGCTTGGTTGTTATCTTTTACTTTCGTTTCAACCACGGGATAACACAAATCTTCGTAAAGATGATCTTCTGAGAGTGGTTCGTTTACTTCCGGTGTGGGTAGAGACTTATATTTGTTTCTCGCGTCCAATTTTTTAGGTCTTTGTAAGCACTTATTCGCTTTGACTGAATAGTAACCTCTGTCGGAATTGTCGACTTTATTGAACCTCGATTTAAGATCGAAAATCGGATATTCGTAGGAGCTTAGGCGAAAGAACTTTTTTGTTTTCTTCCCTGCACCGTCCATCGGTACATAGGAAGACGTTTTGTTTTTGTTCCTGTAGAGAAAGCTCTTTGGCGCGACGATTTTCTTCAAAATGTCTTCGACGCTGCTGAAATTGTTTGTGACTTGTTCTTGTTGACTTATTTTTCTCACACTAACAGTTTGGTACTGACTATCAGTTAAGTTAGTTTCTTTTATAATGATGTCGTCAGTTGAGTGTTTCAAATACTTACTTGGTTCAGTTCTCATGTTGTCGACAAATGATATTAAATCGTTGGCGTTGGCTTTCGGGCGCCATAACTTAACGATTCCCTCAGTCACTTCCTAAAAGTTAAGCCTTAAATAAGTGTCAAAGTTATCCAATTAAATTTGTTAAATTTATTATACGAAAGATACGATAATAATAGCAAGATATCTACATTGCGAATTATTTTAGTTCACTATATGTAAATGACGTCATATTACTCTCTGACGAACTACAAAAACAACACAGAAATAACTTCAAATAGTTGTATACGATAAATACAGGAGATACTCGAACCTGTGACACAAGCCGGTATGCCTTTATCATATCATATACTTCACCTATTTATGCATGAAAAGGTGCTTAGATATAGTGACAGATTCGTCCCCTTCCGATGAAGTTTTGAACCTTACCAATAATTTCCTTCCATCCACCTGCTTCTCTTTAACGAAATCAACAAATTCATTTTTATCACAGCTATGTAATATTTTGACAACATCACTAACACTTAACTCTTCGATTTTCGACACCATTGATAGCTGTTGAGCTCTGATTCACTTTTAGTTTGCTTGAATAACAAAGCTCAAGGGCGTAAATTGTGTTTTTAAAATGATATGCACGAAAAGACGTCTGGCTAAGTGAGTAATACAACCATAGTTTAACAATACGTGCCTTGTAATGATTTACGAGGTGGCTAAGTGTGTTCGCGCTTTTGTGCGGGTTCTGTATGCTCTCAGGAATAAAACTACTCGTAAACAGCTTAAAAAATGCGCTCTTCACGTTTGTTCTTAAATCATTTTACGATGATTCGAATTCCAAGACCTTGCCTTTGAGTTAAATACAAAGAGAAAAAATGCATTCAAGAAATAAACTAAAAAAAAAGAGTTTAACAGAATATAACGGGAATCGTCCATTAACTTATAACGCGATGAAGTAAACAAAAGGCCCGCTTTCTCCCGTGGGCCATGGGACGATTACACTTCCGTGTCCATTTCACTTATCTATTTTATTTGCAGGCAAGTATTCGATAAGACTTTTGTTGTCTACCCCACCAAAAAAAATCGATTGCTTCCCCAGGATTCCAACCTTAACGCAACAATTTAGCTACAGAAGCGGTCGAAGTTATAGCGATATAAAATGTGTCATATCTTGGATGATGTCATGCGGTCATATACGTTTTATCAAGTAACCCCAAAAGTCAGCAACCATTGCAAAATAAATATGAGAAAATCAACAACTTCACTACATAATATTTACTACATTTGGGTATGTTAATCTAATCTAAGGTGGGAAAATTACGTCATTGTACAGATCTCTATTTTTATTGTAAAATAATTGCCGTTCTCGTTAAAATTTCATTTTATTAATGTAGTTTTAAATAATATAAGATAAACGATTACATATTAATATATAATTCATATATAAACGTAGATAAGTGAAGAAAATTTTAGGTCATAGTAAAAATAACAAATTAAAAAAAAAAATATCCTTTTTTTATTTTAAAAAAAATATTTGTCTCGTAATTTTTTTGTTTGTCTGTCTGATCGTCGTGATTCTACAGAGTGTACAAACACTTATTGAATTAGTAATAGTAGTTACTAAATAGCTATTTCTATACTTAGTTATAAGTAGGTTACAAGTTAATATTTTTCTGTCCATATTTAAGACATACGCGTCTAGTATCAAAAAAATGCTAGATATCTAGAATCTAGACTCATACAGCTATACCCATTGTATGTAGTCAAAGACTCATTACCACATAATCTAGACTTCTGTTCGAAGCAGCACAATTAAATGTCATGTATTAACCTCAAAGAGGCAAATAGTTCCTATATTTTCTCACTCACACATATAAAACCGATTCTATCTTGTTCTAATGCTAATTGAATGTCGCGACTGTGTAGCGTTTTTCCACAGAATATAAATTAGAACAGTGCGGCCGATTAAAACGCGTAGTATAAATTATGTGTAATTGAGACGTAACCTTGACGTTAGTTATCAATATCTTCTTGTATCATTTGTTTTATAGTCACTATAGTGTATGCCAAATCTTGTCAACAATAATGTATTATTTAAATTATATCATATCGATGCATGTACTCTTTTGTGGTCGAAAATAATAAATGTATGAATATTTTACGCTATTGTACAAGAGACGGTATGATTGTTGTAGTAGAGTTGATAATATATCTTATTTAAATAAAACACTTTAACAGTGTAAAAAGTTTTAACTATGGCCTGACGTTTTGGATGCTTCTCAGCAGCCGTAGTTACCGTGGTTAAAAAAGTTTTCAAATAAATTTATCTAATATATATCGCGTTTTGAACCGTTAAAGTGTTTTACTTAAATGTGCACTACTCGCATAAACTACACACAGTATTTAAAACAGTCTTATTGCGTGGTACTGTCAAATATAGATATATTTACGTCACCACGTCGCTACTGTTCGACTAATGCACTGTGCATTTGGACGGCTTTAGACTTCAAACGAGTGAGAAGGCGCTCGACTTGGCAATTAGCTTGATTGGTTCATGTCTTCTGCTGTTTATTTAGCGTCAAGCTACAGTACTCATACGAAATTATCCAAAGTTCTGGTTCTGGATCTGGAAGGCACTTGTAGCGATTATAAGAAGGATATAAAAATTGCTTTTATAGTGATCGCGAATCATAAATATATTAGAAAGTAAGAAATATAATAAAAAAATAAGGGGCTCGTTGGTGTATCGATAGTAATGTATGGCTAATAATTAACAGGTTGTGAGTTCGATGAAAAAGAAAAAAATTATGGACATGGTAGGGCCATGTCCATAATTTTTCAGTAACTTGTTGGATTTCATCCGGAATGTCATATTAGTAGGGTAGGAATGTCGAAATTCCGTTCCGGTGAAAAAGCCGTAAAGTTTAATCGCGTTTCGGTTCCAGTCTTTGGATTTCCGAATATCGGAAGCCAAAATACGGCATCTGGCTTTGATGTGGGGGGCTGGGGTATTTCACCAAGATTCTTATGCTTGTCTGGCCTCCACTATCATAAATAAATAAATAATAAACCATGACATAATCAATTTGGGAACTTAAATTATTTCTGATAGTAACAGTACCAGATATCGTTGAGCAATTTTAAAATAAATTAATCTTCGACTAGGCTCAAATCCAAATCTACTTTACTCGTTGAGAGATTAGTAAAAACAAACATTTTAGGTATATAATATATAAGTACAAGTTTTTAAAAATAAAGAACAACAATTTTAGTGTTTGATTAAATGCGTGTCATAAACATAATAAACTGCAATCTAAAACTGAATACAGCGTCGGAATCTGAAAATTAATAAATTGCTGGCAATTACACAGAGTCAATAGGAATTTATCGCAGACTCTCATCTCTGAAAACATTTGCTGAATATTCGCAGCACAAAAGCGTATAACCTTATCAAAATGGATGTATAGTTAGGTTAACTTTTTCGTTTGTATCTTTGTGATCATATAATACAATTTAACGCTTGTGAATAAGTAGCAAAGTTTTCTTTAATCCAGTCACAGCTCCAAGTCAGTATCATCGTTCAGATATAAGATATTGTTCATAAATAAAATAAAATTAAAATATAATATAAATCAGCCTATTTTTTTAATCATAGTTAACGATGATAGCAAAGAATCTTTTTATATCACGTTTATTAAAATAGATTCAGTATTTTAAACACTAGACACGCCCTCATAATTAGACCAAAAAGCCTTCAAGACTATCTACATAATTTGGTTCTTGTCGCCCGCTCTATCTTTTTGTAATAGCCCAGTCACATATCATCTAAACAAAACGCGCTGTCGACCTATTTTGATATTCAGAAATCCACAGACAGAAACCGAAACGGTATTAAACTTCACGGCTTTTTCATCTGTGGGCGGTAGTTCGTAGTCCGGGTGGAATTTTGATATTCCTACCGCCCAATATCCTTCTAAAGTCAAACCTATATTTGGACCTGGTGAGGATCGAATTGACGACCGGTTAATTATTATTACACTAACGAGGCAGTCATCTTTGCAGTTAATCGAAGAATTTAATTCTAATCGTGTTATATTTCTGAAAAATGCTCGAAAAGTGAATTAGCTTTCAGTCAGACCCTCTGAAATCCATGCAAATGAATTTCCATCGCTCATTTATATAATTGGCGGGAAAGTTGGAGCTCAATACTGAATATTAATAAAGATTCATCGCGTTCATATTTGCATTATAAATCGTATTTTAGTTGGTACGTTATTTGGAGAGTACGTTTATATCTATCTAACTTAACAGATAATTGTTAGCACAAAATGTTTCACTAACAGTTAAAGAATCGAAATCAATAAAACTTTTGTAAATTGTTTATTGTAATTGTAATTATTATAATTTTTTTTATCGAAACAAGAATTGTCGTACTTTATAATAATGTCATTTGTTAAACGTTAACAATTATTTCTTACTATAATTACTATTTTAATTATGCATTTTATATTGAACATTTTCTCTCATTAACATTACATTAATAAAAGAAATAAGTACTAAATAAAACATTTTTAATGGTTTGAAACACAAAATCTATCATGTAAACTTATTAACGCCATATTTTAACTATGGCCAGGCGTTTCGGCTGCTGCAACGCAACGCGTTTTAAACCCTAAAAATAATTTTATTTAAATGTATATTATTGATAAACTACTACCACATGTATTTCCTATCTTAATGACTGTGTGTTTGTTGGTGTATAAAATAGCTACAGTTTTCTTTTGTGATTATAATTATGAAAGGATGCAGAGATACCTTCCCCCGTTATAACAATAGCATTGAGAGTTAAGAATACATCCTGTGTACTATTGTATTCAAAACCTTGCGAATTCGGAATGTAGCGCTTATCAAAAGTGCAGAAATAATATCTCGTAATAATATAAATGTATTTAAATTTATAAAATATTTTAAGTAAAACTATTTTTGGGGTTTAAAATGCCAAATATATATTATTTAAGTTATTTTAATTTAACTACGGCCCGACGTTTCGGATACTTTGCTGACGTGGTCACGGTGGATCGTCAGGGTGTTAAATAAAAAGCAGCAGGCAAATAAAATCAAAATAAGCTAACTAATTAAGTTTCACGTTTTAAACAATTAAAAGTGTTTTATTTAAATGTGTACTAAACTACGGACAGTATTGTCTTGTTAAAGAAATCTTACTGAGATTAACGTCAAAATCAGATGACAAAAATACACTGCTCTAGGCATTTTTTACAGCAAACTTCACCGAGAGGTAATGATTCAGTTAGAAAGTTAACGGTTTTAATTGCTATTTTAAAATTCATAGATAATATCTATAAAGTTGTCATATTTAATCAATTCTATTGTTTCTTAGAAATTGGCTCATTTAACAATTTACTTTTAAGACAGAGTTTTAAATATTGTTTAAAGTTTACACTAGTGTACACATTTAAAATATGCTTATAACAGTTTAAAGCGCTAAATATATTCGATGAAAAGCATGCGAAACGTCGGGCCATAGCTAAAATATATTTTAAATAAGATAAATACCGCGTTTTAAACTGTTGAGATTGTTTTATTTAGAAGTTTAAATGTTAAATTAATATACTAATATCTATTAATGGATTTTTTGGCTTTGTTCGATGTTGAGTATTTACTATCTAAATCACCAAATTTCCTCATTTAGTTCCGAGAAAATCAATTCATTGTTATAGTAATTGTAGCTCTAGTAACTAACCACAGAGAACACTGCAACAGATTACAAGCAAGTGAGTCAATTGTAGATCTGAGGTCATTTAATTGAACGTCTGTGAATTAATTATAGGATTTATGCCCTTAATGCGTGAATTACATACGTATGTGTCCGTGTACCTGAACTCTTGTGAACTTTGATTTTATTTCTACATAATAATAAGACACAAATGTTTCGAGCGTGGTTATGTAAGTAAATACATAGATAATGGTATTTTAAATTATAAGGCTAAAGAGTTATGCATATTTTAAGACGCTAATCTAAGAAATTTCGTGTTGGTTGGAACCTTTACTTACTATACTGCTAGCAATGAGAGCGAAGAAAAGTGCCGGGGGTTTGTGGAAAAAACGGTGACAATTATCCATATTGATTTTAAAAATTGAAAAAAATTACACAGGCAGGTCTTGAAGGATCCAGCGTTCCGTATTGATGCTCTGCCTATTGACACTGCCGTGTCCAATTGCTTAGATATCGTAAAATGTGTAATCGTTTTCATTTATATTATGCCGTCATAGCATATTAACATGTAATTTTTTGCTAGAAAAGTTTTTAAACCCCCTGTGTTAATAAATTTTTAACTATAAAACAAATGATACTACAATTGCTCAAATGAAAACCCCCCACGAGAGAGTTTTTTTGGTAGACAGTTCTGTACAAAACGGTTATTAATAATTTATTTATCAGACATTCATTCATTTGTCAGACATCCATACATTTCTTAAAATTAATTAAATCGAATGTGTGTTAGTTGGGTTAGTTAAACACATTCTAATATACATCTTTACCTTTAAATGTATATTAGAATGTGTGTGTCACTAAAATTAAGTAGACAAAATGAATATACACAGTAGGTGCTAGGCGCAAGGGGGAGCTACACGCTTTGCGCGATATTTTTCACACGATGCCCCAGGCCGTGCAACCTCGATAAATGGGGGAAGCTACACGCTTGCGGACGATGGCGTGAAAACCATCCTTATATTAAACATAATGTATATTGACATTTGAAGCAGGCATATGTAAATGTCTGAAAACAACTAAGTCATATGTAATTCACACATAAATTTGATTTTGATGCAAAATTCTTACGATATTTTTATCGTTGCAATCTTTGAGACTTTTCGAATACCTTTTCATATAATCCTTCTAATCGTAATCAATGCGTATCTATTTTGAGTCACAATTTCTGTTTAAGTAAGATTATGTACGAGCTGTGAAAATAGTTCATTGATTTCATTGATTTTGTTAAAAATCTTTTCTGTCTTAATAAAAATGAACACATTTAAGTAACATATATTTATTATGCAGAGGAATATTTAAAAAATCAGTCATATTTAGCTTAATCTACAGAGTACATCATACATTTTATGAGACACTTCCGAACCACCAAAGCCTATGTAACAACACTGATGGCTAGGATGAACTTTCCCTGGTGTAACGGACAGTTGGTGTCTTGCCCTACCCACATACAAAATTTCACCATTACAACTCTTTCCACCCTGTATTGCACCAGGGGGAACAGATCCATTAGACGCGGGAACCCATCTTAAACTATCCGGCTGGGAGCATAGAACTTCAACATTTTGTACTGGCACCTCTTTTCCATTGTACACTATCGATGCTGAATTGTGTCTGACATTAAGCTTTCCTGGAATCAGATCCCCATCATGCCAAGCTCGTATTACCCATAGAGGGGATCCATCCCAGCCCTCGTGTCCTCCGAGGACAGCTTTGCCTGATAAATGTCCAGCCGTGGTAGTGGTCGTTGGTACCCAGTTTGATTCGCCTCCAACTTCAGCTATTTCCACTTTTTCTGGTTTGGAGGTATCGCCGTGGTAAATGTAATTGGTTATATACGTCGGTGCAGGTTGTTTTGCTTCTGGAGGAGGTGGTGGCATGGACATTGGCGTTGGCATGGACATAGGAGGTGTTGAGATTGAAGGCAATGACATAGATGGCATCGGCATGGTTGGCATTGGCATAGTTGGCATCGGCATAGATGGCATTGGCATAGATACTGGCACCAGCGGTACTGGTACCATAAGCGCGCCTGGAGTGTAGTACGGATACGGTGGCGCTGGTTGTTCTGGTGGGTACGGAGCTGGGTTTTTTCCAGAGAGTGGCGGTTGTCCGGGCCAAGAAGGGGGTTGTCCATAATATGGTGGTGGTCCTTGAGGTGGGTAACTCATAATTTTCTTTATTTGCTTGTATTACTAGTTATAATCACAATTCCTTTAAAAACTGTATAATTTGTGTCCTGCTATTAAAGTTTCTTTTTGGTGTCAAATATTATTTTGAAAGGACACAACGTTTTCACAAATATTCCTTATCAATATGACTGTTGAGAATTTTAACTTTCTGCACGAATTGATTATAAAACAATGAAATGACGGGTACTGGTACAGTCTTTATATCAATGGTTGATTTATCTTATCAATGTCCGATATAGAATGAGATAAATAATTCAATTGTATTGGCTATCATATCAAATAGTATATAATGAATATTTCCAGCAAGCTTCAGAAAAGCTATGACTTAAAATCTATATTTTTTTTATATGTATATAATTTAATTTTAGGTAACCTTAAGAAAAATATAAAAACTTTGCATTTATAAGGGTAAGGAAGACTATGACTAAAACTCATAATATTAAGATTTAATTATTTAATTTTTAAATAATATCATATATTAATAAATTAAAAGTTGTGATTACAGTAAGTAGAACTATAAAAAAAATAATAACTTAAAAAATCTTATTTCAACATTATGTCAATCTAAAATTAATCATAGCAGGTCAAAATTTTGTTAAAAAATTTATGATAATAAAACTTAATTTTAAAATTAAATGTTACGAGGCCAATATAAAATTTTATACACTTGTATTTGTCTAATGTATCCTGGCTACCTGCTTACTTAATGATTTTGTTAAGATCTATGCTATGTTAAAACAATCGCTCTGAAGACACAGCGATTGTGGTCCATCAAAGCAGGCCATACGAATGACTTTATGAGGTCTGATCTTCGGTCACCTGCACTGCTGTACCTCACGTGTTTCTCTGGATTCATCACCACTAGAATACAAAAAGTATTTAAACTATCACACCTAATTTAAATTTATGAGCAAAGTTTCTTTTATCCAAAATTTTATTTAAAAACAAACAAAAAGCATATAATATAGATTGATTGTATTTTTCAACGTTATTAAGTTACTATTCCGTAATCACATGATTGTCACAAGCAAGTAGGTCAACCGTGTATACTTTTAAATATAATAAATGGAAGAGACCCAATACGAGACCCTTGTGCTACCCTCGGCTCAAAGGTTATTAAGCCTTAGTACAAAAGGCTTATCTAATAGACAGGTAATGTAATTGGACCAAACCGGTTCTGTTATCAGTCTATTCACACCTAATACTGTGTGTCGGACTTAATTCTACTATTCGTAGTAGGTGTAGGTTTAGACACGATTGTTATTATAAAGGAATCAATCTAATCGAGGGAGAGATAATAGATTAAGAGATAAAATATTTATATGTAAAAGTTTTTTTTCTCCGAAGACTTCTAAGAATAGATAAAATAAGTTGAAGAAACAATAATTTGAGGATTTTATATCTGTGAATCAAGTCAATCTATTCATGCCGATTAATTGCGTAATGACGCAAGAAAACGCTAGATATTTATTAAATCTCGATAAGTTGATTTACCTGGAGTAAAGTCAGTATCGATCCTAAGAGGAGGAGAATGTAAAGATAGAGCCCAAGCAGCACGACACGAGGCTGCAACCAAAGCATGCAGAGCTCCGCAAGATGACAGACTGCGGTACTCGCTGAGAGTTTTTACAACCTGAAAGGATATATTATGAGAACCTTCATTCATTGCCTGGGGTGACAAGTAATAAAATAATTGGCAAATTAAACAATATATACAAGTGTTTAGCACCTCCGTAGTTTAATGAACTTCAGGGAGCATAATAAAATGTTTCGTTCGCAGATGTCTGGTCAACTACCTGTGTAGCAAATCGATCAGTGTAAGCTGAATGGCACAGATGTATGGCTGCCCTTAGCCCCGAAAAGCGACTGTAGGTTTAAACGCATGATGATATTTCTACTATGTTGATTATATGCAAAATAATAAAAAGACGGGTTGACTGGATCCTTTTTTTAAACTTTATTAAATTATACAATTGAAAACATTTACAATATTGCACATGATGGTATTTCATACATTAACAATCTACATATTTGATTCGAAAAAAAATGAAACTTTATTAGAGGAGGTAGATATCGATGGGTTAAAAAAATTCTACAAAGACGTGTAGGATGGTCCGGTACCTTAATTGGTTGGAGCAGCAGCACGGAACGCTGTGGATGCTGTTCAAGTCCCGCCGATGTCGTGAAATTCTTTTAATCTAAATATATTGTTAAGTTAACCTATACTTACTTGATTAATAACAGTTCTCTCAGCATCGCCAAGAGGGAAGTTATGCGCCGTAGTTCGCAGAAGTCTTAGAGCTGAAGACACAAAGCTAGAGAGAGAAGGGGACGTTTCACTCTCATTCTCTATCCCAAGAAGTGATTTAACTTCATTCATACGACGATCACGAAGGCTTATTGCCGCTCGGAAAGACAGCTGGAACAATGGTTGTGTAATGAATGTTCTGATAGAATGACGATGCTTTTATTTGAAGAAGTTTTTACACAACCAAAACCTTTTTACAAAACCAAATAAAAGCAGTTGTTGGTGGCCATTCCTGACAAGTGTTATATTTACGCTGGCTTCAGTCCTTATTTTTATGGGTATATTTGTACTAACATAATATGTGGATCTTGCTGGCATAATGGTCAACATTAGGTATATAGCAAATGGCGCGTTATAACCAGAATTGAAGAAGTTAATACATACTGTCTAAAGTTAACCCGAATAGTACACGTTTATATAAAACACTTTAATTAAACTTGTCTACAAATTATTTGTAACTGTGGCCAACGTTTCTTTTGCAAACACGTTTAACTAATATATTTCACGTTTTACCCCGTAAAAGTGTTTTATTGAATAGTTATATTATAGTATAACCCATAGATATTAGACATTACAACATGTTTTTAACTATACTTACAACGACAACAGAAAATACAATTTTGTATTTTAACTGAGGTGTCTGCTTGAGATCTCCTAAGGCACTAAGAGCTGGAAGTGTTTCCGCTAGGGCAAGGGACCAAACTGCAGCATACTGGGACACTAGCTTACTTCTGTAAAAAAAAGAGATAAAGTTATTTGACAATCCTACTTCCTACTTAATATAATAAAAGTGAAAGTTTGTATGTGCGGGTGGATGTTTGTTACTCTTTCACGCAAAAACTACCGAATGGATTTCAATAACATAGATATATACATCAAAATAACACATAGGCTACAATTTATAAAGATATTAAGTGAGCTGTCCAAAATATGACATTAAGTGTCAAGTAACAAGTTAGTCTAGTATATATTAGGTATAAATACGTCGTTGTTCCATATTTGCACGAAGAATTGACATCATTTCATGAGGTCGGGAGTTTGGTACCCTTGGTGCATCACCAAACATTAAACTTTCTCTATGTTTAAACGACAACCAGTTTTTAGATGTGTTTTAAAATTCAGTTGTTATGTAAGCTCCCGTTTAATTACTCGTAGGTAAATATTACCTATCTGTATGTTGTGGTGAATCGTCACTGTCTGAATGATAACCATCACTGGCGGAATCGGTGGGGGAGCGTGGTGTCTCAACAGGCGGTTGGGGCTCGTTCATCTGAGATAAGACGGCTGCACATCCTCGGGAGTAGCTCATTAAGACACCAGCAACGGGTCTAAAAAATGTATAAAGGTATTATCACTGATATTAAAGATAGAAAAAACACTCAGTTAACGTTTTTTTTATATATCTCTCTTATATAAATAGGTTTTAAATACATATGTATTAAAAAGTAAGTTTGACGAACAACTTGCTTGTAAATATGCAAAACCGAATATTCAAAGCCAAAATAGGTCGACACGGCATCTTGTTTAGATGCTGTAGGCCTGGTGTGTTTCCCTTACCATCAAGCAAACCTCATGCTTGTCTGTCATAAAAAACGTTTACTTTTCGCTTTTTTAGGTTATAAATCACATTTACTTAAGCTCATCTTAATTTCACCAAAGAAATATAGTTTTATGAATCGTCAACAATAGCGGTCCCTATTACACAACAACTTTCATACACTCGTATGGGAAAGACGCGGAGATAACATTGTTAGAATTCAACAAATTGCACTCAACTTTATTAGATTAATTACCATTGTTTTGCTTTATCGTTTTCTTGTTTAGCGCCGTTATCAAATTGGTATTCTAACGGTTCGTTCGTAAGATAATTGAAGCAGTAGGGCTGAAGATACATATTTATATTCTTTCATTTTGTTACACTAGCTGATCCGGCAAACGTTGTTTTTTTGTTTGTTTTACAATTTTTACAACTAATAATTGCAGTAATTTCGACGAAATTTCTCTTCGACGGTTCTTGCGAAAATTTTAAGATCATTCAAAGAAACATACTTCACAACATATTTTTGGGTTTCTTGAACCGTTTTAGCAGCGCATGGAACAGAAGCCCTAACAAAATGAATAATTTCCACATTTTCACTGTTTCTTCTCTCTTATACGATCGCGTGGTTATGGTGTTATACAAGTTAGCCTTCCTGGGTATTCGAAATTTCAATTTTCGAGTGCTTAGATTAACGCATTGAGACAAACAAACTCGTCAGCTTTATAATAGTATAAATGCGTAAACATAGAAAACTGATATAAACTTTTAAAATGGCGTATAAATATTACAAAATTAATTAAGGAGATTTATTTAGTTTCTAAGCACTTGTGAATAAGACTTGGCATGTGGAAAACATGGGGTAAAAGTAATTTATTAATTTTTTTGTTACATTAAGCATCTTATTAGGTTTTTTATTACTTTGACTAATTTACTCACTTGTTCGCCTACTACTCGAAATACAATTAGTTAAGCATCCACATCTCGTCATGTTTATTAAAACACTAGCTGTGCCAGCGACTTCTTCCGCGAAGAATATTTATTTTGGGCATCCAAATTAGTTTTTGCAACCCCCGTCATCTTTATAAACTTAAGCTGTTAGCCACGCTCGGTCGCGTCCCTTCTCGACGTTCTTGCAAGGTAATCTTAAAAGATAGACATATAGCGTCGCGATTTTTTTTAGATCATTTAAAGGGAAATCATTCTTTCATACACAATTTTTAGGTATCTTGAACCGTTTTCGCAGCGTACGCATCTGAAACCTACAGAAAATTTCCCTCGTTTTATTCACATTTCTCGCTGTATCTTCGCTCCTATTAGTCACATCGCAATGTGTTATAGCCTATAACCTTCCTCGATAGATCTCTCTCAAACAAACAAACTCCTCAGCTTTATTTATTTTATATATTTATTTTATATATTCTTTATTGCACAAAAAAATAAAAATATTACAAATTAAACCTATATACTAGAGTGGAGAGCATTTATATATTAGTATAGATTATTAAATATAATTTAAGTCTTCAGTAAAAGTTGATAATAAGTTAAATAAACCCCCACACTTTACGACACATATAGTAATGGCTAATAACAACTACCAGAAGGTAATATCACTACGATGTAACTAATAAAAGAAACGATTTCCCATTCAACTCGGATCATATAGTTGTCCATACAAAAAATCATTGAAATAAGGAAGTTACGAGCAAAAGCAAATAACTTTCTACCGTTTCCTTTCGCTGATGAATTGTGATGTATTAGTATTGTTGTGTAATGGAGATATGTGACAAAACATTGATGACATAACGATGAGATAAAGTGAATATACTTGCATAATAGACATAGTATTTTATCGTTTTGGCTGTTGTAACTCTGCAAAATACCTGTCAAATAATAATGTCGGAAGTCCTTTACGCATCAAAATACCAAGATAATAAACGAAAAAATAATAAACACTTGTAAAAAAAAGGTTTTGTTTTAAAGACATTATTACATGGGCAGATTCCATTTACTTCTTTTATCGACTACTCCATTATGGCTGTCACGATAAAACACACGTTCTTTTGTAACTTATAATCAAAAATTAACAATGAAAATGGAAATTCTGCGTATTTAATATCCAATAAAAATATAAATGTTTAATTTACCATAGCCACGCGCGAAAAGTACTAAGTTCGAAATTCGGTGAAAATGATTGACGTTGAAAAATTTTGCTGGTTAGAACACAGAGGTATATTTTGCTACTTGAGTTTGGAAAAGCGATTAGTAAAACGGACAATTGTGTCTGCCATATGGTTCTTGATAGGGTCGGACTTCTCTTTGATCCATCTTTCTCTTCATAAACGCGGTCGTAGTTTGAACTAGAAAAAGGTTATATCGGACACTATCCCACAATTAACCACATTCTTATGACACAAATAATACGCAAACGTCTTCAATACTAACCATTTTCTCTAGCGGTTAGAGAAATCTTTGTTATTCAATACAATAACAATAAACATAAACTTTACGATATGTGTGAATGAATGGAAAACGGAAATTTCTGTTTTGTTAAATTACAAAACGAATCTTCGACTTAGGCGGAATGCATGGTTGTATTTATCTTAATTATATAATAAGACTTCACGTGTTACTGCAATAATATTTAAAAGGTGTGTTTGTGAACTGTGACGTAGTAACTGTCACATTTATGTTTGTATTATATGCTTCTAGACCAAGGATAAGCAATAAGGAGACACTTTACTCATAGAAAAGCATAGATTTAAAAAAATATATAATTTTTGAAAACATTAATATTTTTCACATGTTATTGCACATGAAGGCACTATATAATTTAAAAATCGAAAATAAATTGAAAAAATTTTCGACTCGGGCAGGACTTGAACCGGTGACGATGCCGGTTCAAGTCCTGCCGGGAGCCGAAATTTTTTCAATTTATTTTCGATTTTTAAAATATATAATTTCAAAGTTTCATGACTATGAATATACTAGCTGTGTCAGCGACTTCGTCCGCGTAGAATTTTTATACGCTCCTATAAGCCACAGCCCGATGTATTATAGCCTTCCTCCATGAATGCTCTAACTAACACAAAAATATTTTTTCAACTCGAACCAGTAGTTCCTGAGATTAGCGCGTGCAAACAAAATATAAACAAACTGTCTAGCTTTATATATTTGTATAGATTATAGTACATATTACATTGCGCAAGAGTTGCAAGTTCCTACAAAGAATAGATTATACGACGACCGCGTATGTAGTGTGTGTCACACTGTGGTCGTGGATTCTTAATCTATTTTTAAAAAATCGATTCGTTATGCGATGTACAAGGCAGTTAAAAATTTGTATTATTTTTCACTATTTGATTCTCACAGCACTATTTTTTGAACTTCTAAATACTATGGTAAGATTATGTCATTTGATTTTGCGAGAGCTTATAATATGTTTGTAATAAGTGTGTATAACAATTGAATTCATACAATAAACAAGTTTGTAAAAGAAAATATACGGATTACAGACGAAAGACGCGTATTAATTCAAAAGTTAATTTCAACTCAATCTTATATATCGATTATATATTATCCCATAATCTATGAATCACTGATATTAACTCATTACGAAACCGGCGAAAGTCTATTGAAATGAATAACCAAAACTTGTCAGGTTATGTAATATTGAAAATAACGCTACGGTCAAAACGAGTTATTTATTAACTTGGACTTCGTGAGACCAAAAGCTAAGAATGTGTAAAGGTGAAAACCAACCAAGTAACTAATTTAACTTAATTTTGACCTGTTTTACGAAACTTATAATACTTACTAAGCTCTTGCTTAAGTCGAATTTTTCTATTGCCTTTTTGGTAAGTATGCTTATTGTTTCACTCAATACTCGATGAAATTGTAACGAAAGTATATTTTAAAGTGCTTTAAGTTGTGTTTGAAGTTTCGGTTACTTTGCAGCAGCCCTCACTCGTCGTGATATGAGGCCGCTAGACACAGAGTAGCCTAACTGTAATTTTATGACTTGAGTTATTTATTTTTCATGGTCTAAAAATATTAATCTACAAAAGCACATTGACCAAAAATTGTTAACATAATTCTTACACAAATCATAGTATAAATTCATTTTCGCTTAAATTAATTTCGAATTTTTATTGTCCTCCTTGTTAAAAATCATATTTTTTGTTATTAGGCCACTCTGCCTCTAGCAGCATCATATCAGGTACTTAAAAATTATATTTTTCTTGTATGATGACTATTAATTAATACAAATTGACTCATGTTAATAGATGGTTCGCGTCGCGTACTAACAATACGATTCCGACACGATTTATCAAAGCCATTAAGCTGCCCATTGAGCGTCATTAATAACATACCCGTGCAATGAACTGTATCAAACATACTAAGACGAATCCATCAAACATCACACGACGAAGTTAAAACAATCGTAACGTATCAAAAAATAGTTTAGCCCGAAGCAAAATGTATTGCCCCAGGCTGCAAGCATCGAAACTTAGCGTTGTACTTAAAAACAAATACTTTAATGTTTCCAATCCAAACAGTTCCTTGGTACTTTAATGATATTTTAGTACTACAAATAATTAAAACGAGAACTTTACTAATAGAATATGTAACAAGGTTGCTAGACGCGGAATGGCCTAATAACATTAAATATGATATGGAGGAAAATAAAAATACGCAATTAACTTAGGCACAAATATTTTTTTCCTATTATTTGTGTAAAACAAATTTTCGGTGAATTTTTGGTGTAGGTTAACATTTTTAGACTATAAAAAATATTAAAAACTCAAGTCCAGTTATTGCAGTTAGTATGTAGTATGTAATATTGATGTATATGTGTATGCCATTGTAGAAGGTACTACGCCCAAATTTAATTGTATCTAAGCCAAGTATCTAAGCAAGTTGATTTTAAAGTATTAATCATAAAATTTTGTAACGCATTTTATTTCGTAATATCGTGTGCAGCAATCGTGTCGTAAGGTATAAACGAATATAGAGCGAATGCGTGAAATGAATTTCCCGTTCCTCAATAGATAGATGCTATCGTTTACATCCCGCGATCTAGGAAACGAGCTCACTGTTTGAATTTTGATGTAGAGATATGATTTTTCACGCTCATTGCTTTCGCGTCCGTGTTTTGACTCATCTAAGTAAATGGCTTTTGAGTAAAACGTTTAAATTAAGTGAATTAAAAATATGTGTAAGTACTATTGTATAATTTAAATTTGTAATTTAAGTAACGTAAGTACGTAGACAGACAAGACACACACACATTTAAATAAATAAATTTAACGGTTTAAAACGCCATACATCTTAGTTAAAATTCGACTCTCTTCAAACACGGGTGCTGCAAAGCAAAGACGTCCTAAACGTCAGGTAGTAGTTTAAATAATTTTCAAATAAGTTTAACTAATATATATCGCGTTTTAAGCGGTTTAAGTGTTTTATTTAAATTTTGTATAGCTAAAATAGATTCAATCGACAGCGCATCTTGCTAAGAAGTTACACCACTAAAGAATTTTAATTTCAATAAAGTGACCTTTTTGCCTGTGTATCAGAATAATTATAAAAATCTACTATACTCGTACGTGTTCTAAGAGTAACTCAAAACATCACTTTAAGATCTTATACACAACCGACAGCCCAATCTGATCGATATTCAATGGATTTTTATCTATCATCAAATATACCTTTTCAATTTTCGTCACTTGAATTTTTACAAGAGGTTTTTTGTTGTTCGCTCGTATTTAAATAAGTAATCTATTGACATAGTTAAAAGATGTATTAAGTTACCTTGTATCGCTAAGATCCAGGGTAGGATCACTTCTCTTAATCTGTCCAACACACGCCAGAACCGCCTTATCACTCTCCACTCTAGCAGCTAGTGATGAGACCAGCGTCGGGAGCTGCCTTAGTGCCGGCTTATCGACAATAGTGAGAAGTGACTTGTTATCGATAAGACGTCTTTCTACATCAGCATGGGAAAGCGCCAGCAAGCGTTGGTGTGACGACGAAGCTGGGTCTTGGTTCACCGTCACTGGTGACTGAAAGGGAAATTTCAACTCTCAATGCTTAGGAAAATATTTGAAGAACAGACCTCTACTGTTTCACAGTCAAAGAAGGCGGCAAAAACCTTATTAATACAATTCTTTGCCTACCTACCTCACGTGGTAAAGAGGGTAGGTTTTATTAATTATAATAAGATTTTGTAATATTCCCCTATAAACTCAATATCATTAAAAATATGACATTCGTTAATAAAAACAACGGCTAACCGAGAGTAAAATTTTTAACGAAGTTTTCTGATTAATTTACAGGTACATGAGGTAAACCTAAACATTTTTACAAAAGACATAATCACTCACCAGCTCCTCCAACTTATGCAGAGCTTGCTTATAGACCTCCACGTGTCGTTGAAGTTCATTCTTCATCGCCACATGAAGAGATATAAGAGAACCTGACGCATCTGCCGTGAGACCATGTGTGCCCAATCCTTTATAACAAATATTACTGTTAAAACCCTTGTTTAATCTAAGACCTGATTAATTTAGTTAAGAGGCTCTACGATCATAATCTAACATTAGAATCCAAAGATTATCTTAAGGAAATACATCCTCAGCTAGCATCCTGCTGTAAGGGAAATGATTTTTATTCACACATCCAGATTCGTCACAGCCACTGTTATCTAACGAATGGTAATGGCACTGTTTGAGAAACTTGGAATATATTATAAAATGTTATTACAACTTTCTCAGAAATATTCTTTTGTGTTGATATAAAAACGCGAGACCTCGGATCTATTATTTAGATAGTCATAAAAATGCTCATTAGTGCACCATTTTCTTTCAATTCAAAAAGGTGAATATACTAAAAATTATCTTACGATTATATTGTAATAAAAGTGACTCATGGCAACAAATACTTTCTGATAAGACTCATTTTGAAGACATGAACCCGTTACGAAAATTCCATTCCCAAGTGACTCCAACGGCGACTCCGGGTCAATTAAATTCACATCAATATTTAAAATTTCTTACAAAAACTGCGCCAATGTTAATTGCGTTATAAAAGAATTCTCTAGCAGCAGAAAAGGTTGCATATTATTATGTTATGAGCTAATTATTTTACCATTTGCCAATTGAAGGTTATCCGTTGCTTCACGGTTTTGTTTCTTAATTTTGTATTTCGAGCTATACCGTTTTCACAGAAATTGTACGATTATCCAGTATAACGTTTTGTTGCCAAAATCTTTTGTAAAAGTTTTTGTAAGATCGAAGGTCGACCTTGTTATTGTTGTTGGCAATTTAGATGAACTTAGTCTCCAAAGCAGCACAGAGATCTCTTACTTTCAAGCTCCAATTTGGAGCTAAACGGTAATAGATTCTTTCCAAATATCAAAGTGACACTTCATTCGATTCGAACCTGGGAACTGTACTTCCTAGCTGTTGCAGTTGCGCTGTGCAGTGCAGCTATTGCAGTGCCAGTTGCTGCATTAACCAACGATATCAAATCGTCCCTATAGTCAATTTTTCAATTACCTTGTACCGCCGCATCTAACTGCCTTCTCCTACTATCGACTGTATCTCTCGCATCAGGCGAGTACTGCACAAGAGCTGAAGCCAATCGGCTAGTCCTTCCTCGTAACCCAGATCCTTGTTCACTCCCCAATAAGCCAACCAGCCGCCATGCTACTGCCTCACATTGTAATTCCGGTCGTGGTACTATTTCTAGGGATATTAGTCTAGAACAAAAGAGAATAATGGTTTCAAATTATCCTTGCTATTATTTTTCATCTATTATTAACTCGTGACATTACACTTGTATATTCTTTAGATCAAAAGATGTTATCAAACTACTCCTATACGAAGTTATAGCATTCAACTTGAATGTTCGCCTTGATAAGCATTGACGCCTTACATAATTTACCCAATATTTGCCATTTTATTATAATTTCAGTTCACAAGATACAGGTGTGATAATTGTATAATTATAATAGATCTCAGGGAAACAATGGACTATAAAAAAGTTTCATCATTCGCAGTTCAGCGAATGAGATTCAGTTTCATTATCGGTGCTCTTGGAAAATGTGTGAACGCTTGTACTATTGTCGTTTTAGATTCATGGCATTCGTTTTTGTTACTGCGCATCTACTGTTACAATGTATATTGTTCTAGCAAGTTCTACGCTATATCTCGGTTACAAGTAATGGTTAACGAGTGTATCTACAGTAATACGATTCTATACGTCAGATATAAATAAGTAAAAGCCACGGAAGTCATCAACGGAAATAAAAATGTCCTAAAACCACTTAAAACTGTCATCCATCTTAATGACATCCGTGCATGTGGTTAAATATATGAAATTAAAGAGAATTTACCGGCGAACCATTCACCAAAATAATGATTAATTCAGTAAAGTATTACGTATGTAAAAACTCGTTGAACCTGTCGGGCGAAAACTTTAATAATTACCTACTTAAGTCAGGTGGCTCGACGCCCAGCCCACACTCGTAAAAGTAAAATCTCTTTGATTGAGATGTCATAAGCCTTTACGAAAGTGGTATGGCGACTGTATTTTGTTTTTGAAAACGAAGATAATTACGCAATAGGTTAACAGTGTTTGTTAAGCAATTTTAGAGGTTTACCGACTAGTCGGTCAGTTTTGGTCGTAAGCTATGTTCAATACTTTGGTCTTTATGTAGCTGCTTACTGGAGCCCTCATTTATCAGTTAACTAAGATCGACGATTGGTCTACAAATGTCGATGTCGGAATGATCGTAGTGGTACTAATTTTTATTCTTAATAATGTAATGTGTGTTTTCAATCAAAACTTAACGATAACTAACGAAATCACTTATCATCTAATTTATCATATATGTATTTATACTATTGCAATTAGACTATAATAAGCAGAAAACCAAGGAGATAATTTGTATCTGTTTTATTGAAATATCAACAATATAGTCATGAAAAGTTACTCAAGAACTCTGTATCAACAAAATTAATAAATAAGTTGAAGGATATTAATCTCCGAACATAATTAGAACGGATTAAATTACTTTCCTGACCTCTTCATTCTTTAAAGCCGAGTTTGTCCAGTTTATAAATCACTATAGAAAGCAGATTGACGAGTGCGGAACCTTTCATTTCGAACAGGTTGATATTGTATGGATATGAATTAATGCAGCGGTGGAAGTAAAACTGGAATCCTGTTCTCGAAGAAAGGATAAACATCATTTGAAATTGAAATCAGGATCAATTAAATCCGTTTGATTGGTTCGTTCTGGATTTGAAAATTGACTCTACGCATCGTTTATGTAAAGAGATCACGATGGCAGTGCTTCGCGGAACAATTTTGAATCTTGTTAATATATAATGCTGTCTGTTGTTAGAGTAGTAAAACTTTAACGGTTACAAATCTTTTTAACTACAGTTCGACGTTTTGGATGCTTTGCAGCTTTCGCGTTTTAAACCGTAAAGGTATTTGATTGAAATTTAAAATAAATCTGAAAGGGAAATAAATGTATTTAAACCGAAAGTGTTTATTAGTATGTTATTAAAATTAAAAATTGTTTTTTTTTGTGTCAGTTTCTCAAAAGAAACATTTTATAAGAATACATATTAGTAATTTATTTTCGATGTTTTTCTACATACAATATATGTCAAACGCACCTGTTAAGAAGAGTTTCAATCAAATGTGCTGAATGTGGCAGAGCCTCTACAAGTAAATCTATCGGCAATTCTGAAGCTACACTCTGCAATACTCCTGGACCAAGTCGGGATAGTATGGCTGCTGCTTCCCGGAACTGTCTGCCCTCTGCCAATAACAGCACCCGACGTAACGCTAGACGAGGAGAGGTATATGTGTTCTTCTCTCTTTCCCTCTCCCGGCGTATCCTCTCTCGGCTTTCGTTCATTGTAGTTGTGCGTTGGGTGGCACTAGCCCATTATTTATGACGCAACCTGTGGAAAAATTGAGAGTCAGTCTTCTGTAATTTATCATCTTTATAAAATACTATATGTTTTCCCAACGCTGTGTATGTTAAAATTAAATCCGTAAGAGAAACGTGTATCAGAAAATAAATATTGAAAGGGTTCACACATCTTATTATGGTGAAGTGGTTAAGTTTAAGTATTATTATGAGAAAAAAATGTGGTCGAATGAGGTGTTTCGCATCCGGCTTGATAAATTAAATGTATAAATGTACACTAAACTAAAATATACCAATGTCATATAATAAATGGTGTGTTTGGCACGTACAACCGTAGGATACAAGAAAAAATTTAAAAATGTTTTGTAACTAACTAACTTTTATATTATAACAAAAACTAACAGCAATTAACGGTTCCGAAGGAGCTCTTAGTTAAAAACTTTGCCCCGGTAAACCAGATTTGGTGAACGGAACGGATCATATTCATCCTATTATTTACTGCAGTTAACACGATCATTTACCACTTTAGGCCATTAAGCATCAAATCTTAAGAGAACTCAGCGCAAAACACAATGGTGAGGACAAAAAGTCATCTCTCATCGCTGTTGCGACCGTTACAATCCCATGTGACACATACGAATAGCGGGACTCAAATAATCTACTCATCGTGATAGAGTATTGTGATTGTCTTGTTAGCTTCGTATACGGCTAACTGCGATATTTTCAAATACCGATATCCACTTAGATTGGCAAAAGCGAAATATTTATATTTACACTTTTACGGTTAACGCTAAATAAATATAAGAACTTTTTTTTAAATTAATTTTAACTATGACGTTTCGGATGCTTCGCAGCAGCTAAGGTCAAGGGAGACGTAATCAAAATACATTTAAAATAAGTTATCACATATATTACACATTATTATCACGTATCTTTTTTTGAAAAACTGTTATTTAAATGTGAACTACTCGCGTTAAATACAGGCAATACTTAAACGAACTATTATCTAGTTGTTATTGTAAATTTGTTTGTCGATTTATACCTGAATATACAAATGTTTTTCATAGATCACATTTTTAATTTGATAAATGAAAAAACATTTCAATCTAATTGAAAATTATCAAAAGATTTGAAATACACTTACGTTACACGTATATAAGCTAGGTAAGCTTAATACTACCTTCTAGTATCTTCTGGAGTAGGATGCGTTAGCGCATATAGATAAAAAAAAATAATAAAATGACTAAGGTAGAATACCCAGGTAATATAATAAACATTTACATTAAAAACTATTGTCTGTCTTTCTATTAGCAACTTAACTCATAATTAAAAAATACTGCATTATTTTAATAGATTAATAATAATCCATGCAGATAAAAGAATATATTTTTCTTAAAACTATCATATTTTTGTCCTGCTCCCGGGTCCAGCGGTAATAATGAATTGCTAGTAATAATGTGAGGGTCCAGAATGTTTATTCTTCTTTTCTTTTTCTTCTTCTTTTCCGATTTCACAACATAAAAAACCGCAAATGGAAAAGCAGTAAAATGTATTCGTGACTGAGTTTCAGTCTGTGGATTTCTGTTAAAACGTAAACTGGGTCCACAACACATATTTTAGACATTATAAGGCTTCACCAGTTTGCTTTACACCAAGAACATGAAACACAGTCTTTGTTATCCTTCTTGTTTGTAAACTACCCTCATAAACATTTACAATGAGTATCTCTTAGATAAAATATTTAAACATTATAATGTTACTGTAACATGTTGGACTTCGTCTCTAAATCTGAATATTAAATGAGTGGAAGAGAATATCGAAAGAGATGAAAAACCGTGAAGTTTAATCGCGTTAGATGTTAAATGGCTTATGTATTTCACCCACCATCCACTGAGCCCCAAACTTGATCTCCTCTATCATAAAAAGATGTTTTATTTATTACTTCATTGGTAAACATAGCATTTAAGGTCGGTACGGAAGACTCCACTACTAGGTTTCTTTAGAAACTTTACCAAGACCAGACTCGAGCGCAATATATGTGAGGATCGCATGCTCATTCAACTGGACTGGACCGACAAGTTAGAAAATTTCACCGCTCTCTAGTTAGCATGTAGAAGTGTCAGATCGTAGTGTCTAGAATTATAGCATTTATGTCTTCCAAGAAATTATGATAAGGATCTTAGCACTTTGATAAACAGCATCGTGCACCGTAGGGTCTAGGTGGAGTATTTCTGTATTGGGTCAAGTCAAACTACTTACAACGTATTGATAACTACACTACTTTCGGTAATGTGAGGCCGTTGTGATATTTCGCTAGATAACGATAACTCTACAACGTTTCAAACATATTTAGTTTTTAGCTTTATCGGTTTTGTTACCTAAATAATGATTTCATTTCTTATAATCAATGTGGCGGTTCTATTGTACCTATATTTTACTTCAATCATACACCTAGCATAGAATATTTACGAGAAAAAAATTTAAAAAGATTAATTACTTAACAGTAGAACTATGTTAATTGTGTACTTGAATAAGTTTTTATTGTTATATATATATATATATACGTTAAAATATAAAAGATTATTTTGCCTAGACGGTTTTAAATTAATTTTTATAACGAATTAAATTAATCTATTGTTTTGATCTAATTGACTAAATCCTATAAAAGTTTCACTGTTTGAAGCTATCTGCTTTTACATACATTCCAACACTTTATAAAGTTAGATAGCTTGATGATAGGTGAATTACCCCAGCCATATAACATATAAACATGATGCGCTGTCGGCCTATTTTGGCTTTGGATAATAGCAACATATACTAATAGCTCACAATAGTAATGTGTCTTAATTACATATAATGCTATATACGCGCTCATTATCCATTTAGTACTGCATGACCATAATACGGGACATTATTTCGTGGCAATGAACTTGGGACTTTTGATGCGTGAAACGGGTCAGACAGTTTTAAAGTTATAAAACCGAATTGTTGAAGCGCCTGACATCCGTTCACACTGTATCTCATATCATTTGTTTCAGGCTAAAATTTGTAAAGTATTAAAAAGAATTATTTAAAAGTAAAGTAAAACGTAGGGACTATTATTATACGGCTGTCATGTGTTATTTTTGTTATATTTACCTAAGAAATAATTTCTTAGGTAAACATACAATTATTTCATAGCGTACTTATGGATCTTGTGAAAGTGTAAATATAAATATTTATTCCATCTTTATTTTGTTTCTTTAAATTTCTTTCATGAATTAAATCACAACGCAGAAATCAGTCTGAATTAAATATAATACGTATAAAACACGTAATATAATAATTAACTTATTTAGAATGTTTTATATACGACCTCACGTTTCGGTCGCTTTATAGCAGCCGTGGTCACGGGGGGGACTGAAGAAGGAGGGTGATACTAATGTCAAAGTCAAATCGGTCCTATTTCATTGAAGCGCCGATGCTGTAATATCTCTATTTAGTTCATTAATTCAGAAACTTTTACATGAGTTAAAAGCGATTCTTCCGCTAAAGGTGATACTGGACCGGTCTTATCACTTTCTACGTGGGTCACGGCTTCATTCCACGCGTTTTACGTATTTTATGTGTTCATTACGATGTATATATATTAATTAGTCAAAGCACAAGTCGTCTAAAGATATCTTATAGTCAAATGCTACATAATATAACAAAAGCATTGGCTCTGTTAGCACAATTATAGCTATTATAATGAAACTCCATTGTATAGCCGTGCTCAAGTGGGGACTCAAAGTTATTTTAAATCAATTAAGCATAAGATAATATAATTCGCGTTTTAAACCGTAATAAACCTAAGTTGTAACTGTTGTTGTTGTGTACAAACTACATTGACATAAGTCTATATATTTTAATTGCATTCCGTTTCAAAAATTTTATTCGTAATAATAATTCGTTACGTAAATAAATTCCAAATCAAAAATGTAAACATTTCTTGCCATTGCGTCTATGGCGTGGGATTTCAAATATATATTTTTTTAATATTTAATGGAATAGTAACGAGACTTTTAAGTCAAATCTTAATTTCACTTCATAACTTTTCTTCTTATTTCAGATAAATCCTAATACTTCATAAATAATTTTGCTGCGTTAGCAATTAAATGTTTAGTCTATATCATTTCGACAAGAAATTTAAACAAATCTTACCAAAAAGAGCGGTAAATCCGAAAAATATGACACTTCACAGACTACACACAATTCTATATTTGTTTATGTAAACTGATTACAGATAAAGCGATATTTTTATTTTTTGAAAATAGAATGCTATTCACACGAGTACCGCGCGCGTTAACTTATTGATGAGTGTACGAATCAGGGGCTTGAGCTTGAAGCGTAAAACGCGCGTGAAAGCTTCCGGATGATATTATGCAAAGGTGTGAGTATTTATTATTCTTAAAGATACTGTAATGGCCACGTGTTTAGTGGCCATAAATATTCGGCAAACGTACTATCTCACCACCAATATCCGTAAGAACTATATCGTACACCGTTACCCTATATTACTAATGGGAATTTTACATAACATTATAATTTACATTTAAAACCAATAACAAATTAACACACGGGCAGAACTTGAACGAGCATCCTAAGCGTTCTGTCCTGTTGCTATAACCAATTGAGTTACCGAGTCCTATTATATATATTTTTTTAGTGAAGTAAATGGACACTAGCAACTGAAAAAGTAGAATATTGTAACATAGTGATCATACATCATAATTAAACCTGCCTTTAAACTCAGAACCCATTTGATTAAACTAATTTAATTCAATTAAATTTAGTTGATTTTTCATAATTATTTTAAGAGTGTTTTAACACACCATTAATTCCACACGATAATATTTATCTTTAAATCATTATATCATTGGTCTTTATGTTACTTACTCTCTTGCATAAAACTCTTCAGCAACAGGTGTTAGATTCATAAGTTAAATTTGGTAGCCATCAAGCCT